TTTCAAATAAAAATAGATTTTAACCCATAAAACAAACATACTTAATGACAATAACTGCTGGATGTCCGGCCCCTGAGGTTTCAGAAAATGTGGCCCCTGGACGATTTTGTTGAATAACCCTAATTTAAACTATATATTTTTAAATGATCTGGGACCTGAGTCCAAATTTCGTACCATAAACATACTAATGTGAGCTGTATGACAACAAGAAATCCTTGAATCATAAATAGAACACATTCAGAACCACTACATTCCTTATAAAGTTAATTTATTTTAAAACTATACTTTTATTTAAATAAAGGTATGCATTGTATGTGAAATTATTTCCCAATATATTATCATGTAAGATATAATTAATGGCGTTACATTTTCTTGGTAACTCCCATTGAAGTATCTATATTAAGTCAGTAAATGAAGATTGTGTTGAATCTTAATGAAAAAAGTTGATTTAAAAAAAAAATAATAATAAAATCTGCCTTTGCTTTTTCTTTTTCTTTTTTAAAGACAGATGGCAGCCCTCTATTTTCCACAAGCTGTTTGTATCACAACCCGCTGCATGCTAGGCAATAAAAGAGTGTTTCAAAATGTCCTACTGATGGACATTTTGAAACACCCCGTATAGTCTATCTGACATTTTGTGTGTGTGTGCAGGAATCTAATATGTAATGCTCCTGTCAAGGTGTTCATCTGCCAGAGACAACCTAGTGAGACCGCTGGGTAAAAGCAATCTGGTGGCTGGAGACTTATAATATCCTCTGAGACTCAGAACAGCAGGGAGTTGACTGACACAATAAAATATATATTTTTTATTATTTTTATTTTTTTTACACTTCATTTCAAACATAACTTTTGTGAGCTTTGTTGTATTTCATCAACAACATGTAAAAGGGGCTATGGAATTCACGAAAGCCACAAATAAATGAACATTTATTCTTATGCTAACCATCGATAACAGTAACTGATGAGAAATAAATGGTGGATTTTTATTGCTGTTTTTTTTTTTTTTTTATGTAAGACTAAACATTTAAGTTCAATCGTTTTTTTCCTCAATCTAAACAAAAATATATATATATGATCAAAATACTTTACTCGTTTGGTTCATTTGCTTTGAAATATAGCCTGCACAATGAAACACGTTTAACTTTTAAACTGAACTGTTTCCAAACTAAAGTCTCAGAACTTTGTAATCAGAATATTTGTTTAACTACATGTTAAAACCCAATTAAAAATCCTGCTATAACATTATTAAAATGATTAAAGAACAATATGTTAAAAAAAAAGGCCTATTATTTTAAAAATATACAAACTAACCAGTGACAGAGTTGTAGTTGATTTGGTCAAACCTTAAATATTACGGGCTCTCATACAATGTCACAAGATGTCATGGTCATGTGAATGACTCTCAGCTACTACCACATTATGTTTTAGACAAATATCATCAACACCGGTTGAGTTATAATCATTGTTGTATTGGTGGTTGATGATTATCTGTGATAGCTGTCTTGAATTAATTTGAATTTAAAAGTTAATTAGTTGGAGATGTTCATCCAGAAAGTTACATTATAATTTGTCCAGAGGCTCAAGATATTTTACTAACAGACAAAGTGGACTCTGAGTAGTTAGTCAACATTTTAAAGATCTTATGCAACCTGTTGGTGCTTGTAAAATGTATTGGGGCGAGTCTTATACTAACACACGAAATTCTAGCTCACTATTTGTAAAATTAACTGAATTGTACACATTTCTGTGTATTTTAAGCTCAATTACTTGTGAGAGTTGCTTTGAACTGGGACAACTCCATAAGTTTAAAAGTGCATCCAGTGATTACTTTCAGTAAGGATTGTGGGTAAGTTCCATATGAAGTGATATTAGAGGAATCTGAGGTTGTCAGTGTGCAATTCAGGGTTTAAATAAGTGTTAAAATTCATATACATTACTTAAATTGTGTAATGATGTGCACTGCTTAAAGAAAAATATAGAAATCCTTCTCGTTTATGTTGCAGGAACATTGCCTTTAAACATTTTAGTGATTCACTCAGACATCTGTTAACAAACTGTTGAACCTCTGCCCATCTTTGCCTATCGGAGACACAGCTTGTCACTGATACCATCATGAGGAGGGAGAGTGATGAAGACGATCCAAATTACAGGAGACAGACGGACCACCAGAGTGTCTTTATTATTCAAAGAAAAACAGAATAATAAAGCGCTGCAAAAATCAGTCAATTCAGGAAAAACTAAGCCGAAATAAAACACGAGAAGTGGTAAATTAATTTATCTGGCTGTGAATAAAAAAAAGCGGTGGGAGATGATTTGCTAATGACAAATGAAAAATAGTTGAGTGGAAATTACTAAACCAAACCCAGGTGTGAAATTTAAATGGTTTGAACAGGAGAATCTGACTTTGTTTTTTTGTTTTTTTTAAAGAAGGAAACTAAACATATTGCTTTACAAAATAATAAAAAAAAGCAGCCTGCAACAAGACTTGGATAGTGAAAACTTAAATAAATCTGAATTTTCTCCTGGCTTAACCAATTATTATAACATTTACAGTCTACAAATAGCCACACAAATGACAATTTAGTTTGTTATTTAAATGTGATCATCATTATTTTAATAATATAAAGTGACTGGTAAAGTCACAGTGACAGCTAATATAGTTTAAATCATGATTGCTGCTCATATTGATGTCAAACATGCAAATTGACTTGAATCACTGTGGCTAAGATAATTGACTTAGCTGCTCCTCCTCTGCTGGGCTGGGCATTTATAGACACGATCAGGCCAGAATGCTCTGACCAGACTGGATCACTGGAGCATTTAAATTGAACGCCTAATACATAAACATGAACATACTAAAACGAAAACTAAAAAGTTACGAAATAACAGGAGTTATGCTGAAAGTAATGATAAATGTAGGCATCACTCACTATATACATTACACCTTTAAATAAATCAGTTTATTTTATTAATGTCAGTGTTTTATGCAAAAGTCTTGCACAAACTTCTAATCAGTCTGTGTTGATGATATTTGACATCTTATGACATCTTGTGTCATAAGCTCTTTGAAACTGGTTTCTCAGAATATACAATTGGTTTCTTCTCTAACCATCTTTCAGATCGGAGGCAATGTGTTCAACATAATTGTATTTCCTCCAGTTATATAACAGTCAACAATGGTGTACCACAAGGCTCAGTCTTAGGACTCACCATCTTTACAATCTACAGCATCTAGATTCTAGCTTAGTATTCCACACCGCCTTACAACCTAGCTGTTTTTTCACTACTTTTCCTTTTATTTACCAAATTTATTTTCACTCGTTACAAAAATAATAATAAATTTGTACGCATCCTTTACGATCGTCTATTGTTGTCATTGTCCACTGTTGTAATCAAATTCAGGTCTCTTGTAAATGAGTCCCTGAGGCTCAATGGGATTAACCTGTATAAATAAAGGCTACTACCACACCTGTCTGAGATAAAGCAAATTTTGTGTTGACTAAAATGTATTAGCTGGTTGGTTGACTCTGAAAATTGTATTCATTGAATAATTACTTTACGAAGTTTTCATTAAAATCCAATCTGTGGTTTTTGAGACATTTTGCTAACAGACACAGCTTCCAATAGTTTATGTCAAAGTCTTAAAAGACAGACCTTGTCCAATCAGTTAATGCTCTAAGTATGTTTGTAATTAGTTTCAGCTTCTATCACGCCAAATTTTAGCTCAATATCTGTCAAATTTGCCTTTTTGTGTGTGTTTGCTAATCTTGCTTGCCAACAGGTTTCTTCCTGTTAAAAGGGAGTTTTTCCCTTTCCAATGTTGCCTTTGTGCTTGCTCAGGATGGGAGACTGCGACAAAGTGAAGATTCAATGAGTCTGCTGGCTTCCTTAGATAGAAAACTTTACTAATTGGCTTTTTATGTATGTTGATTCTATAAAGTGTCCTGAGACAACTTTGTTGTGAGTTGGCACTATATAAATAAACTGAATTGAACTGAATTTTGAAAGGGGCTGACATTGATAGATCTAGCATCTAATTATCATTATCTGAGAGTCTTAATAATATATGTTCAGTGCACACCATATTTTGCTAATAATAAACTCATACACAAACAAAAACAGGCACATTATTGCCTGCCTTTCATAAAAGCAGGTGATAAAATTGCAACATAGGCTAATAAACTAGAAACAAAAGCCAGTAACCTTTCTAAAATAATGTCCAAATATTATTCTTGAGCCATTTTTGCAAAATTGCTCCTGTTCTACCCAACATTTTGTTAATTAAAAAAAAAAAAGTTTGAAAAAAAAAAAAAACTTTAAAAAGTATTCTGCTTATCTGTGACCACATATGAGTACTTCCCAAAGCAAAACAAAGAAAGAAAAACAACTTTAATCAAGTATCAGAGATGTCTGTTTACTGATGATAACTTGAGACACACATTGTGTTTTCTTGATTTTGCTCACGTGGCTGCAAATGCACAAAGATGCCCAAACTTGCACACTAATGTGCACCAAACGCACCACCTGTAGATGCACACACTGATTTGTTCATACAAGTGTAGACCATGCAAACTAAATGTCCTCATACACACACACACACACACACACACACACACACACACACACACACACA